AGGATTGTCCTAAAAAATTTTGGAAGCGTACCTGTGCTTAAATTTCTCCAGAGGCTTGCTTTAGATTTTCCATATGTTTGTCTGTAATTTTCCCAGGACTTTCCAACAGACAAATGTATAGGAAATTTAAAAAGTGGTTTTAGGTCTTCTAGTGCATGTAATGCCCTCAAATTTTTTCAGTAGAATCCTTAGGAATTAAGCTTTAGTTTACAAGATCATATTTTTTTAAGAACAGCTGTTCTACGGAAATTATTCAACATTACATTCTCATACTGTTTTACAAACAGTGTAATTTCTCATGCATTTGCCTACTTGTCAAGATGGCGTCGTAAACCGTGACAAGGTCTATATGTGCCAAAAGGAGTTCTTGCTTGCAGGCTATCTTTTTTCTCAATAAATTTTAACCAAATTTAAAGAGTTGCAGTTATCTTCATATTTCCGATACAAAAGTTCTCATAAAATCTTTCTTTCTTCTTTCTTTATTAATTTTGGGCTTTTTTTCTCCTCCCTTTCTCATATTCCCTGAGCACATCAATAATAATAATTATTATTATTAATGCTCAGTGATATCCTCAAAAGCCTTGGTAATACCAAAATCTTTCATTTAAATTTCCTAAAATGAGGTGACAAGTATGCCCAACCCCTTCATTGAATATTGGCATGGATTCATTGTAATATTTTTTTCACCTTTTCCCCCACTGTGGAGCCTGATCCCAGGCAGGAATTCAAATCAATTCATAATATCATACTTATATAACCTCTCCTCAAAACAATATAACATTGACAATGGTATTCTACTGAATATTATGGAAAAGACAGGGACCGCGCAGAGGGAGGGGCTGGGGGGGCTTTAGCCCCCCCCACTTTTTTGCAAGAATAAAAATAAATTTAACAAAAAATAATTTAACAAAAGTAACGGAATGAAAAATAGCAAAAAATCGTTAATTCGAAAGTGACCAGAGCTACTGGCAAAGACCAACGCGCAGATAAATAGACAGAATGAAGCATTAGTCGTTACAATTGTAAAATATTTTTTCGCTTCTAACCTAGCAGAGGTAAACGTCTTTTAAATGGCTTCTGTTTCCTGCGGACCTCTCAGGAAAACGCGTTGTTTCGTAATTGGTCAATTTCGATCCAAAGTAATAACTGGGTTTAGTTTATAAGGCGATTCTCAAACAAATTGTTTATTAGTTTCAACCTTGATTTTTGGAAGATCATGAGGTTATTGTTTCTCTTGTTATTGTGCGTCCTGATTTTAGCTCGATCAGCGCGAAGTCCGTCTTTTGATGTCAGGCTTCACGGCTCGTTGAGCATTCCAGTTGCAAGTTTTGTTGAACGCGGTCTGTTTATAAAAACATTTTGTCATCGAAAGTACTTAAACCGCAGAATTGTGTATAGCTCTGGTCATCAAGGAACATTCAATCCGGCGGTTATTACGAACAAAGAAGTGCACATGGTACCCTGCAACATAAATACGAACGACGAGACTTCACATACCACTAGTAATGCAAAGAAGAGGTCTCTTAAAATTTCTGATTACTTTTCCAAACAAAATGGAAAACCTTCTTTATCTGGTGAGTAAACTCTGCATAATTGTTGCTACTTTTTTCTGAATCTATTCTATAATTGAATTCTCATTCACTAAATTATTTTCAGTTACCGTTTTGTTTTGCCGTGTAAATATTTTGAATGAATAATTAAACAATTATTGAACTCGGCTTTCGTATGATATGAAGATATACAGATCTCGGAGGGTGTTATCCACCGGGCTCAAGCCTTCGGCTTTGGCGGATAACCCGCTCGATCTGCATAACTCTTCATATCATACTCAGCCTCGTGCAATAATTGCTCAGTAATTATACAGCCTTGAGTTCAAGGCAGCTCAAGCAAAATCGTTGGATTTCTGGCTTATTTATAGTAATTAAAGGTTGATATCAGAAGTATAACATAACAATCTATGATATTTCAATTTAGTGATGGTGAATTTTCAGACCCGATAGCAACATCACTGAAGATGTGGAAAAAAATCAATAGTTTTATCGTTATTCGCACTCTCCGTCACTTTAGAGAAATTGAATAGAAATCCACAAGCATGCCCCCCCCCCACCCCCGGCCCGAAAAAAATTTTCCTTCACGCATTCTTCTTTAGCCCCCCCACTCGAAAACTTGCTGCGCGGTCCCTGAAAGAGGCCTCTGCTATCAGAGAAAAGCAATGATCAAGAACTGTAGGAATGTTTATTTCCTATACAGGCATGGGAAGGAAAAGTGTCATTTAAGTCCAACATAATTAAGAGCATAAAAAGCCCACATGTACTTTCATGAGTGCTGATAATTATGAGCATTATATTCTGGGCATACCTTTTTGATGGATCGAATTTAGCGTAATGGGTTTTCACATCAAGTCATCTAAATTAGAACTAAAGAATTATTGATTCTTCTGAGTTCTAACTTAAGCTACATGCAGCTAATAAATTTAAAAGTTCAATATTTTTACAAATGTTGGGGTCGAATGGGTTCTACGTTTTGTGACAGGGTACGTTTTAATTTCTAAGCTTTTGCAAAGCTTTTGCCTTGAATCATGGCAGGGCTGTTACATTATAATTTATCTTCTTGTCACCTGGTTCTGGACGTAACATCGATAAAATTTCCGATGGCGTGACAGTGAAACATGTAAAAGAACGCCAAAAGAGTTCCTAGTCTATCTGACTCCTGTTTCAGTATAATTTACACCATTCTTGTACTTATCGATTATACCAGGTACCACGAGGTCTTCCTACAGAGTAAATATGAGCTCACCTGTAGGTAGATCTTTAATCTTAGGATAGTAGAACTCTTCGCGAAGGGTTTTCAATTTATCTTGTTCGTCTAGGAGTGTAGCAAATGCTGCGTCTGTTATAACCAAATTATTCTCCTCTGCTAACCTCAAGAGGGTTTGAGCAGGTTCAAAATTCAGCTGTTTACTGCACGTGGTCCGCAATTCGTCGTGAGATGCCATTTTTATGTTGTTTTTCAAAAAGTTATGAAGTGCTGAAGTGCACAAGTGAGACTGCCTCAGTTAACCGACCGGGGTAACCTGGGTACAAAGCGCTGTTTTTGATGACATCATTGGCACAATAGCGCAAGTATCAGGTCTTATTGGTGCCAATATTGGTACTGATGTCAGAACAATAGCGTGGGAAGTGGGAGGGGAAGGTGTGATACACCCATCAAATCTGAGCCTCATGGTTACACATTTTGGGGCTGAAAATGCACGAAATATTTTTTTGTGCAGGTCAAAAAAAATCTAGCAAGAACAATGCTTATTAAGAAGGCTCCTGTCTGATAAAAACATGCAATTCCCTATGTCTACTTTAATACAAAAAATAACCTCAAAAACCTGGAAAAAACTACTCTTGCGAAGAAATGATGTAGATTTTGCATTATTTTTATGTACTTTAGTTAGCTACTGTGAAGTTATTTCCTCACTGAAATAAAAACATTCTCCAAGTTTCACGATTTTGTTAAAAGAACAAATGCGAAAACATTAATTTACAACTTAAAATTTTTATTACCACTCATATAATGCACAGGACATTTTTTGTCAACAATAGCAAAATTATCATAATACATTTTTGTCCTTTTCTCACAGTTACTTTTTTATTAATGCTTTAGCAACAATAACATTAATACAGAATAATAACAGAAACAACAACACAAAGCCATCAATAAGCTGAATTGCTGTCAAACTTTAATATTATTGTAAAGAAGATCAAGGCATGGTGAGATAAAATTTTTTTCATAAATTTTGCAACAATTCACAGACACTGTATGTAAGGGTTAATCTCGTTTTTGGCCTTATGTGTCTAAATATGCAAAGTTACATTTTCAACCAAACAATGGCATGCTGCAGCTGCAGCAACAACAAAAAAATACACGTTTTTTTCTATTTTTGCTTTTCCTCTAAATTTTCTTCGTTTTTTCCTTATTTTTTTTTCTTGTATTGAAATCCGCCCTTTAATTTATATTCAAACCCAAATACTCATTTGCCAACAATTCTAACAACTACACATTTTTGACAGACATTGAGTCTGTCTTAAGCATAAAAGAAACAGCAACATCTAAGCTGCAAAACATTTTGCTGACTCTGAGTCAACATTTTAGTAATCTTACCATCATGCGACCGAAATATCATTGATTTTTATTCTAATACAGTCAGCTAATGATTCCAGATAGGAATCGGAATTTCATTTTGCTTAAGCTCTCACAGAGAGTACCTTTATTATACTTAGAATACAGCTGCAAGTTGCCACACTGTAAACTAGTATATTACACTTTGGGGGGGTTATCAAGACACTAGTCATATGACAAAGCAATAGTTAAAGAACAACTGGCCCCGCTCCATTGCAATGTCACCTCCAAGCTAGAGTCAGATTACTAGCACTGAATTACTCCACATGGAGAAATCTATCATTACTTAAGAACTGTCGCTTCACATTTCACATTTCAGCCAGTAAGATTAACATTAGTGTGCATATACATTTCCTTCGAAAGGAAATCAAATAAAAGTTTCATATTTTTTTCTTACTGTTATCAAAATTTCAGTCCTGAACTGTGTATAAATTCATACTGAAGAGATTCAAGTAAAGATCAGAAAACTTATGAGCATAAAATAAAAAACAAAAACTTATTTTACTGGCTGAAAGATGAAATCCATGACTTTTTTGGTTAATTTTCTATAATTACTAACATACAAAATATTCTGTACATTTTAATGTTTGCCATGTCCATTACCAACAGAGTCACACAATATATTTACCAAGACAGTAACTGTGGCAGTTGGATTGTCACTAATCACTTTCCTCATAGCAGATTCAGGGAAACTTTCCCCAAATAAATCAATGAGTTTTTCAAGTTTCAAGTTTATTGCTTCCTGGTCTCTTTCAGGATGATAAAACCTGCACTTAAGGCCATATGTGCACTTCTTCAAGTAAGGGCAAATTTTGGGGTGCGTTGCAGACCCTTTGCGAAGAAAGTCTGTAAGATTAGGACCATGCTTCCCAAGAGGATCATCTGGAACCATAAACATGTCACCAACAAATGAGTACATGAGTAATCTTTGTTCAATTGTCTCTCTCCACTTTGCATTCTCTTTTGTCAAGTCTCTAAAGTTATCATTTGATACAACAATTCCATCAGTCTCTGCAGCAAGCTTGATGATGAAACGCCTCCCATTTACTTTCCTTGAAGGAGTAAACACAAGGATACCATCGCGCTCCAGATTGTGTAGTACTTCCTTGTCTGTATTTGGATTATCAGGCCGTGAAGCCTCCTTTCGCCATGATGGCACAAATACTGTGATTTCCTTGTGTCCCCTGTCTCTAAACCAATCTACACAAAGTTGTATACCTCTGCAAGAGTATATATCTTGGCGTCCATGACTGCAAAAAAAATTGAAAAATTACATTAGTGGGGTGATCCAATAAACCAACTCATACAGCTCAAAATGTATGTAAAAGGGGCTCTGGTGCAGTATTCAAAACAGTAAGCATTACTCTTGATTGAACTAGAATCATCAGTTCTGGTCTAGACTAGGCATGAATTTATGAAATTTGATGAGCTCAGTAATGACTTAAAGTCATATCAGATGAGCATTCTGTCTTGAATTGATTAGGTAAAACTTGATGCTTTAATGGTTGTCTTCCAGTTTCCCAAGACTTGAGATGCAGATTAACCCAAATATGGCAGTTCACCCTTAAATATTGTCTTCAAGTAAAAAATGGGCTGTCAATGAGTTCTTAAATAAATACAGTTGTTCAATGCTGATTGGCTGCAAGTGCAGTTTCAATTATTAATCATGGTTTAATTATTGAAATAAAAATGTTAATATGTATAGTGTTCCTAGAAAAATAGGAAGACTAGACCAACAAAACTAGAATCTTCTATCTACTTGGGGAAAAACAACAGAATGCCAAAGAATGGAATTTTCCACAAAAAACATGAAGTGAGGAGCAAAGAACCAGAAAGGAAGGAATTATTCATTAGCTTTCACTTTTATGGTCACACTTCATGATTTCATCTGCATTACAATATATATGAAACAACAGTAAAAATAATCAGAACACAGCAACACAAGTTTGAGTCAAAGTGGAAAAGTGCCAAAAGGGGATAAAATTCTCATGAAATAGTTCCTGACTTTTCTACATGAATGCAAAAAGCAATAACAGATGCAGTTTGAATGAAAGGAAAGAGGAAGTCTTAAGCCACAGGAATCCAAACGACTTGTTTGACCTTGTTTAAGCTCTAACTCAACTGCACATGCTCAGGGCATTCAAAAAAACTTCCTGTTATTTGAGAACATTCTAATATTCATAAACAAGATTCTCAAGTTTCATGCAAATTTTAGCAACAATTTTCATTCCATTTTTTGAACCTGTAAATTGGTTATACAAAACCTTTACTTTTGTGCCCAAATTTAGGCAAACGCACCTAAAAGTGCAATTTGTTGTGAAAAAGCTGTTCACATGTACCCTACAAATTCAACCTCTTACATGTACAACATGTGCAGCATCCAAAAATGAACAAATTTTGTTCTTGTAGATACAGTAGGTAAAAGGTAAAGTTTCAACAAAGACTCCAGATTGAAATAACAATTGCTTGTAAATAAAAGGCATTATATTTTAACATTTTTCGACCACTTATAACGAAGTGTGTGGATGCAATATTAAATTGATCAACATTGTCATACAACAAAATTGAGGTGTTTTTAGCTCTTAATAACGAGTAGAAATCCTGATTTGTGACCTTCCAAATAAAAGCTAGTGAACAGTACACCTTTACTCTTTTATTTAAAAAAAACTGTACTCCACATTGGCACTAAAAGAAAATGATTGTTACATATTTATAACAGATACATACACTCACCTCATTGCCACATTGCTTCCATCAATAACTATTGGTCTTAAGTTTGAGGATGCACTAACTGAGGCCTTTTTAGCCCCAACAATTTGCTGGTACATCAACTGTTCTTGTTCATCAAGTCTTGCCTCTGTAGCGGTCATCCCACTACTGCTAGCGATTTCTCTTGAATCATACAGTGGCGATACCTGGTTACCATATGGTCCCACAAGCACATTCATAAGAGGCTGCGCAGAGGAGCAGCCACGAGCAACTATATCATCAGGGCGCTGATTTTCAAAACCCCTTTTGGTGCCACGCGGAGCACATCTTTCCATGACATCACCTGGAATCTCATAGCCAAGTCTTGACACTGGATCAGGCATGCCTTTGGTAATAACATCTCTCCTGTTGTAAGGCATGGATGGACCAGGTGATGGCTCTCTGTCCCAGTGAGGATGAATTGGGGCTCGAACCATGTGATCTGGAGGGTTTTCATAGCCTGATCTCATAATACTCGATGCGTTTGGGGCACCTCTAGCAACAACTTCTCTTTGCCTGGAATGGGGTGCAACTGGGCCAGAAGAAGGCTTTGGCTGAGAAGGGGTTGCTGATATTTGGTAAGGTAACGAAGCTGTTTGCTTCAGAAGCTCATTTAGCAGTGTATTTTGAGTCACGTTTGAGCCAAGCTTTTGAACGGCCTGGTCTATGACTTGGTTGGAATAACCAAGTTTGATTGCAAACTCCCTCAACTGTGGCTCAATAGCAGGAGGTTGCGGTGTTTTAAGTTTATCTTCGATCGCTGATTGTGCCATTATCACGGCCTCTGCACTACCTTGAATCGAGCATTCCTTCCGAGAAGGGAACTTAACAACAGCGCTTGTTGATCTTTCAAGATCATCCCAGGAATTGTACAGAACACTGAAAAATTGTTCCGCAAAAGGAACAGAGATAACCAGCTCGGGATTACAAAGTGATTTGATATATTCCTGAAAATAAACAAAGACGAAAAGAAATCAGGCACGTTGGTCGGGATTTTAAGACCATTTTGCCAAATAACTCAGTACTATCATATCACATGGTTTTGCGAATGATCATTTTATAACAACGTTTTTTATTATTTCTTGAAAGCCGTTAGCTTTGAATTTGTGTTGTTGAGTGGTAGAACTCCGAAGATAGCTTAGGCAGAAGTTCGCAAATGTGACGCGAAATTACTACTAAGTTTAAGCTTATATTGACTCTAAGCTAAGTTTAACTTGGAATGTTTGTGGGAGTTCAATAACGAGAAAGAAGTAAGTGCGGCTAGGGAAGCCAGTATCGCTCTTCAATCCGAACAAGGAAGTTTTTTTCATGACCTGCGGCCCCTGTATTTCAAAGCCAAGACTAGAGAAGGCAAGTCATGCAGCTTGGCATACAACAACATCAAAGCTACAAACCTTCGCTTTGTTTAAGCTGTCTTTCTCTCCTTTAAGGGCTAGCCACTGAATTCCACTCTTAACAGCGCTTTCTTCTGGCGTGCTGAAGTTAACGAGCACATGAAACAAAAGTCGTATTCTCTCGAAGGCTTTTCCAACCACTGTTCGCTTGCCATGCTCAACGGTCAGTTCGTCCACGATATCGTTGTCCGCCATTTTTCTTCTCGTGAGTGATACACGGTAATGGAGAATGCAGGATACACAAGTTTTTCTCGTACTAAAAGACAGCCATATGCCACGAATTCAATCTTCTATAAGAGGAAGTTAAGGGCGGAATTTGTCAGTATATCATAAATACCTAAAGCATCCTTTCAACTCTCGTCGGGGATTGGACGCGGCTGACGTCATACCTCAAGTGACAGTTCTTAAGACTTCCCTTGGAGAGGGGTGATTCTGAAGTTTATTAGATGCGTAAATTCTTTCTACAAAAGCTTAATAATCCCCACATTCCCACAATGTGGAATGACATAGATAATAAGAGTTCACTAGTGTACATTTAAAGCAAAATTTTTCTTCTTAACACCACTGAATTCACATTAAGTGTTTGAGACACACTCTCCCCTCCCTAGAATTTTAGTGTGCTTATTGCCCAAGGGCCGCGTACAGGGGTCGCGTTGTACGCAAAGGAACACATCATAATTGCTAAATAGAAGCAAGACTTCCTAGAAACTGCTAGCTTGTCAACAAAATAACCCCGGTAGCATTTACGAACAAAAAATGTCTTTTAGTTTCAGTCCAGAAATACGTTGTTACTAGAAACGAATCACGATAGGGATGCGGAAAAAGTCGTCTAAAGTGTCCACAATCTTTGCCTTCTCCGGCACTAAGCAAAGCAAATCACTTATATTTGATAATTTTCTTACTTTTATGTTATTACAAATAACTTTTCTTTATAAACAACCGAAAAATTGTCGAAGTGTTCGAGAATTTCAAAATTCACGTTCTGTAATTGCAATCTGAGTAAATGAGCACGCGCGAGTACACGCGCGTGTCTGATAAGCAATGCACGAAAGGTCTCGAATTTTCGTAGACAAACATTCTAACATTGTGCAACGGAATCAGCCAAAGCGTCTGCCGCGCTGAAATAGGGTCAAACTCGTGACCCGGATAAAGTCTAGTCCGTGGGGGTCCTCGATACGTTAGGAATTTTATGATTTCCCTCCAGTGACTTTTACAAAGGAAACAGATATACAGGAAGATTTTAGTGAAGAGGGTAAAGTTTGACTCCACTGAGAGACTATATCTTTGATATTTCCATTTCTAAACAACGGAAACTGGAAAATTTTATTTTAAAGAACTGAATTGTTATTAACTTCCGCTTATAAAACGAAAATAGCAAAACAGTCTTTCTGTTCTAACGGACAGGGCAAAAGATAACTCTTTTTGGACTTCTGACCCGAAGATTTTAAAATCTTTCTCTTTTCTTGAAGAAATTAGCAAATTCGTTTTAAAATGTGTCCAGAGAAGACAGAAAAAGGTAAAAATTATTAACAGGTTAAAAACATTTTGCTAGCAAAGGAATGATACCTTTTTCAGTTTACCATTCTGAGAAATGCGGTTCGTGTATAAGGTTACGCCTGTGGGATCTCTGTTCCATGAATAGTTTTGATCCGCACACAGGATATAATTGCAAAGTTGACCACAAACGACTTCTCGCATCGCACAAGTGTCTTAAACTGGCAAAAGTAGATGAAAAACTAACTGTGAGTCGGTAGTAATGTAACGAGGCAAGGACACACCCTATAAAATGAGAGATTATGATGTGGCACAATTCCAGAATGGTACAGATTGAGCGTCTCCGTTTGGGAACGTGGGTGTTGGTTGGAAGGAGGAAGCTGAGAAATCATGCAACGGGGCCGAGAAAAAAGCAATGGAATGAGGACAGAATCAACCCACTTAGTTTTGGTTTTTGCGTCTTGCTATTTTCGGTATCCGGGGGTCACAAACGGGACGTGTCTAGTTCTCATTTGCTTCTCTGCTGTATAGTTAAAATCTTTTCTCCTATTTTTAAGTTGAGTTCTTCGGGGCATAAACCAGTCTGGTCCAGTCAAATCAGGTTAATTTGCAGCCAGACGACTATAATTCGCTCGGCGCATATCCAAAATTAGCACTGATTTCTTTAAGTATCCTAATTGCATAGAACTAAACTGAAATTATTTCTTTTCTTATGCCTGACACGAAAGTAAAGACAAATTACAATGAGTTCCGTTCTTTTCATCTCCAGCCAGATGAGGAAATAGAAAGTGATCATCGAAATTTTGGAGTTTTACACGGGAGATATCATTGCTGCGATGTCGCTTGTTAAAACAAGTTTTTGGTTCGAATATTAAATCGGAGGCGGCGAAAAAATCGCCAAATCGAAACCCTGCGTTCGCTACTTTAAACACCAAGCTGCTAAACTGAGTGTGCATTAAACACGAAACTTACTCAAGTTAACTGCTCCAACTCGGTCCTCTCATTCCTCCTTGACTTCACTCTATTGAAGACGCAGGAAGTTCATAGCTTTCAGATATATTCGATGCATACGATATACCCTGCATTCATGCAGTACGCTGATTGGTAGACGGCTTAAGTGGTTATTATTACCTTTATATAAGCCATAGGTTCAATACACAGAAATGAGCCGATTACGCAATGATGGGCAGGGTTTCGCAACCGTGACGCGCCAAATGTCTCTGGGAAAGCAAATTTACTTTTTTTTTTAATCTCCTCACGACCTGATTTCTGCAAATTAAAGCCCAGGCAATGCTACGATTTTAATATGGCTGCTGATTTCGGTGAGTTATGTAAAAACTTTCGGTGCATGTTCTACGTAAACGTCACTATGAGGAAATTTCTTTCATATCGCCGCAGCCAGTCAGAGCTGAGACGTAAACAAAGAAATGGGTACGAATGTAATGCACCTACTCGACCGAGTTGTAGTTTTGCTCAAAAAACTTTCTCTTTTTCAAAGCCTTTATTCACAAGGCGTAATTTCATCTTTTTCTCTCTCTCTCCTTTCATTTCTTATCGTCTTATTCTGTTGATTAAATGTAAATTCCAGTAAAAGAGCGTTAAGTCTGAACTGATGTATGGGTGACTGGAAATGAGTATTCTCGTCGAGCCCATCCCGGCCCTTCAATCTAAAATTATACTACGGAGGGGTACAGCTGAGGGCGAGGTTAGAGTTTCCCCAGCTCTAGCTGTTTGTTCCGACAGCTAGCACAACATTAACCTTTCTTGAACCCTAACTGCTTGCGTGTTCTCCACACTTTTTCCCACCTATTTCCAATGGTAATGATCAGGAGAATTTACTTAACAATCAACACTTTTCACTCATTTTAATATCTCTCTTGCGGACCTTTTTTGCTTGATTGACCGGTTTAAAAATAAGTTAAAGATGAAGAGGGTTATATAGTACATGTGCATGACGAGAGTAGATCCAAACCTGTATTATAACGTATCAACTGCTGAAACAAAAGAACTCTATGTCAAAGATCTGATACTGATTAGTGAAAACAACATTTCTTTTAAAATTAAAAGCGCGCTGAATTAAGGGTAGAAGTTGTCCTATATTATATCTAGGGCAGTACTTTTAACAGAACTGATAAGTTGGAGTGGGTTTAGTGTAGTGCCTTTCCGGATGGCCGGGGCCGTTTTCGGCTACAGCCATCAACGGCAGGGGCAAATTTTGCGACGGGTGTTATTATTTTTTTCGCCGACTGACAACGTTAATACCCTGATGGTTTAACATTTTAGACTGCGGTCAGTCCAATATGCATGGCTGGCAAGTGAATGGTTCTGAGTAGTTTAATTATGTGTTCCTGTTTGTTTTAATCGGTTATATGGTTGTTCCTGTTTCCTCTGTGAAATGTTGAATGTTGACCGCCAGAATTTCTGCCCTGCTCAGTTGGAGACCTTAAGAATTAATTAAAGCATGAGATGGAACAAGAGTGAATCCTAATCAACTACGTTACTCTTTTCAGCTGCTTAGTACGATATAATAAAGAGGTGTTAATGATAAAGCTACATCACGAGCAATTTTTATCCGCGGAAGTGCAATCTCGTTCCCGGGCAGAAGAAGAACGGCTTGACCGTTCGAAATATCGGGAATACTCGCGTCGCTTTGTTCTTTGCTGTTTTGTTATTACACTTAAATGGTCTTTGTTAAAACAGCAAGATTTGGATACCGTCATTGTCACAAAAGTTTCTATGTTCACGTTTATTGAGCAGTACTTTTCCGTGGCCACCCGGGTACTTTTAAGTAAAGTTTCCCTGTAACCACAGGCATTGACAGGTACTAGGCCTGTTAGCTATTGTGGTTTGAAATTTGAAACCTTTTGAGCCCACAGCCTATTATTATCGTTCAATAATTGAACGATAATATTGTAAAGTACCTTATGGTAAAGCTGCTGAAGCGTACGCACAAGCATGTACAGCATTATATTCAGTGCAGTTTTTCTTTCAGTGTTCATAAGAATTACTCAGTTTTTCGGCTAAAGAAAAAAAATTTAGGAAACGAATTCTGGGGTTGTCTAAATTGGTTACAGTTCCTTTTAGCGACATTTCCGATAAAATTCTATACCTTCATGTATGGAAGTGATAAAAGTCACGCCATGCATTTGAACTTCCTCAACTTCCGTGAGAACTAGAGGAGACTGGACACCGGTACTCGCAGTTTAGACGTGACGCATTTATGACGATCATTGCTGCGCTTAGTCCGATATAAGTCTGCGTTCCAGCGATAAAAATAAGCTTTGTCTTTTGAAATATTGGATTATCAAATACAGTATCCTAAATCGTGTGAGAGTCAGCTGTGAAATTCAAAGAGAAGTTGGACGTGTTGCCTATCATGCGTGTAGGCACTAAAGTCGGGTCACGTGCCTGACTTGTGAAAGACCCCCGGAAGTTACTGTTACGCGCTAAATGCATCTTTTGGCTTGAAAGAAGTTACTGTGGAAACTCGAAACCTCTCTAGTTTTTTGTTGCATATCGAGGGTCATTTTAAGAAGAATCTTGAATACGTCTTGTTTAACCGTCACGTAGGTCACGTAAGTGGGAACGTATGTCATTGTACAAGAAGGCCCTTGTACCTGGCATCATCTCACGCGCACGTACCTACAACTCGCGCACTTTTTCACTTTTATTGTTTTATTAAAATGAAGAAAACTACTGAGTTTGTGTGTCTACAAGATTTTGACCTGAAAATTTATATGATTTGCTTCGTACTTCCAGTCCGTGTAACATCTGGCCGTGGAGTATGATATGGTACTCCCTGAATGATATTGTGCCAAGGCTCCGCCTGAATGGGGTGTACCTTTATCAGGCCTTAAGTATATCAAAGGCGGTAGGGATTTCAAGATTTGAGGTATATATGAAAGGGTAGGAAAATCTATCATTCAAGTATTTAAAATAATTATAAAGGACTTCTAATTAAAATGTTTTGAACAGACGGACCTTAAAGGCTAAATCATTTTACTGAATTTATTAAACATTTAACAAAATGACAAGAAAACTTCCTGTTCAAGCGATTTATTTTTACTGAAGCAGGCATGTTAAAGGGGTTCAGTTTTTCAATGGAAGGTATACGAAAGGGGCACCTTGTCTATCAAAAATGGCGGTATATGAAACTGTTCGAAATGCAAAATTTCCCTCCTTTTGCCTAGCATCAACATTTAGTACTGCTGTAGTAGAGTGGGGAGGCTTATTCAGTTTAGCGAAAAGGTACTCTTAATTGATTCAATTTAAAATAAACAGAAGATGGTATCAATTTTCCATAAAGAACTAGAACGTAAAGTGGAAAACAAAAAGCTCATAGATGAAGATGGAGGTCATGAAACCTAAGATCAAAACCAAATCCGAACTTCCAATGGTGATCCGATTGAAAAATTGAGCATACCGGATCAGTCCACGTGAATCAGCTTACTCTATCATAAGAATAAGGGGTGGTGAGGTGGGCGAGGGGCTTAAAAAAGGCTTTCCCCTGAAAAGGGGTGGGGGCGGAGCAAGTGCGTATATAGGAAATCTAGAAAAAAAAAATTTTTTTACTTCCTGAAAACGTTTTTTTATCATTAAATCGGCATGACTGATTTTTCATGCCATTAGAGTCAATCTGTTAGGTAGATTTACACTGTCGCGATATTTCTACCGTACGTGCGCACGCGCTGTAATTCACTCGCGTAAATAACATAGAGCATGTATGAAGTGTCACGCGTAAATGTAAAAGCTCAGGGACGATCAACTTTAACGTTCTAGCCCCTTTTCCTCGTAAACACTGTACCTTACCGATGACACCAGAGATAAGCTACTGCATTTTCCTTCTTAAGTATTTTCTCCGGGAGGAAGCCCCCAAAACTCCCTAGTTTAAAGCGCTTTCGGCGCTCTCACTTTAATTCTTCTCGTGCGTACACCTTCAAAATCTCAGGCTACGCCCATGAGAAGGGCTTATTTGAGAGTGGGGTGGGCTTAACAGAGAAACAAAACTGAATGCAGGGTTGGCATTACGGCACTAGGGCTGATTTATTGTAGGGCCAAATTTCGGCTAAAAAAATAAAATTTACATAAGTGGTCAATAATTAACTACAATTATAAATACTAGAGAATAATAAACAGGTAAATGATTATACAATAAAAATAGACTGAAAAATGTTCATTTCTTCGGTTCCGACCATCTGGTGACAGGGTTTTGCCTCTATCTATGAGGTACGCTTCTCTTGCCTTACGGCGGACACGCTGAAAGTGGGTTGTAATTCCAGCGGCATAAGTTCCTTGTCTGCTATCGAGTGGCCAGGTTGATTAAAGTGCTCAAAGAAAGCACTGAAGCACACGTACCAACTCCGTGCTATGGCTATGCCAAGCTGATTAGCCACAAGAGGGGCGAAACAGCTGTCCATGTCTGCCACTGCCCGGGTGATATGGTTGTGCGCATGCGTAGGGTATCGGCCATTATAACCTAAAACATTATTATCTTTGGAGGTTCTTTGCACTGATTAAAGTGGGAAGGGACTGCTGCTGTGGCGTTTGCGTGGAGTGGATTGTTTGTTGCTTGTCTATGTTCTTTGAAGCGTTCACTAAGTGTGAGTTTAGTTTCGCCTATATATTGTTTTTACATCTTCTACACTGGATCATAAATGTTAGGTTTGTTGAGTCCGACAAGTAATGTGATGTTTTAATTTGTCTTGTTTCCCCGTGTTGGTGAAAGTGTATGATGTTTTTCCATGGCTAATGTATCGGCAGGTGAGGCAGCCATGTCTGGAGTTGCAACGGAATGTGCTGGCGGGGAGCTTTGGATTTTTGTCGTCGTTTGCGAGTTTCGCTCGAACGAGTAGGTCACGAAGGTTTGCTGAACGCCGGACGAAAGCGAAGAAAGGTACTTATTTAAAGATGCTTTTAAGCGTTCGGTGGATTGCAGAATGGGTTGTTCCTTGCGAGTAGTTTGTCATGGACGTTAGGTAGAACTGTATTATAGGCAATTGTGAAAGGGAGTCGGTCACTTGTATCTCTGGGTGCTCTAGCGGCTGGTTTATTCTTTTAAGGCTTCATTTCGAAGTATCAGTTTTGCTCTGGTGATTTGTGCTTTAACGAATAGTTTTTCGTAGCCTCGTTATAGAAGGTAATTTTCAAATTCAGATGATCGGGTTTCAAAGAAATTATCCCGCGTGGAGCCGTGAATGCAGCGTAAGCGAAGAGCTAGGCTGTAGTAGGCCGGGAATAGACTTTTTAGTGTGATATGGGTGGCTTAAAGAGTGCAGTAAGAACTGGTGTTTATCTGTAAAGATAAGTTTCTATTTTACCGTCGCGGAGTTGAATGTTTACATCTAAGAGAGAAATAGACGTTGTTGAGCGTTCACTAGTGAATTTAATCATAGGGTGTATGTTGTTAAGGTACTTTAAAAACTCGACCAGCGTTTCTTCACCAAGTGTCCAAACCATTAAGATGTCATCAATATACCTGAGCCAAACTTCGTGAAACTTGAGGTTTGTCAGGGTAATTTTGCAACGCTTTCCTTTCGAATTCCCCCATGAACAACTTACCTTACGTGGCTAGAGCAATTTGTGTGTCTACAGCTGTACCATGTCGTTGTATAAAATGTTCATGATTGCATGTCGACAAATTGTTCGTGGTTCAGTACAATCATGCGGATGCCGGATCACAAATGGATTCTGTAGGATCGAACAGATCTGTCAGTCCTTTGGCTAAGAGCTATTGTGGATACGTCGATTCCTTCGTTGGTTGGAATGTTTGTGTACAGAGAAGAAACGACTGAGGGTGACGAGTATAGCATTGGTGGGGAGGACGTCGATTTCCTTAAGTATGTTGAGAAAATGGGTCGTGTCTTTAACGTAGGACGGTAGCAGCTGTACCAAGGGATAGTAGCTAACAAACTCTGATATTCTTTCAGTCAGGATGTCCATTGGCTGAGACCATGGGCCGTCCGGCCTGGGTTTCCAGGCTTGTGAATCTTAGGTAGAATGTCAAAACGACCAGCTTTTGGATTTTGAGGAGGTAGGTAGTTGTAAGTTTGTTTTGTCTTTGACGTCATCGGCAAGTAGAGGATATTTAACAATTATTCCTAGAGCCCGAATGGGCTCTGAGTACCATGAGACCGAAGGCCGAATGGGCTATTGACTCAGAGGCCATAAGCGCGAGAGGAATAATTGTTTTAGTAAAACCCAACTATTTGGTCAAAAATATCGAGAATAAAAAATTTTTAGCTAGCTAAAGTTAGACCTTAAACCTTTTATGCCGCCAAACAGCCCGCACTTTTCGCTACTAGTGGGCTATAACATATAGCCTAGTAGTAGCTCAAGTAATCAGAATGCAGCATTGATAATAGACCACTAGTTGGATTTTACTAAACGGTAATAGAAGAAGAGAATAGCTAATGATAGACAGTATAGTGAATCAGCAAATTTACCGGTAATTCAAACTCAAACGTGATGATACTAATCTTCCTTTTGAATAAAGAAAACAGAATGCATCCCTTAGCCGGAACAACCTAATCACCTCAATCGCTGTAAACTCGGAAGAGATCAATCCTCTACGTGATAGTTGGCCACCCTCATAGCCTCTTTGAAAACAGAGCTTAAACTTCATCTTATTTGGGGCAAATAGGGAGGGCAATTAATTGTGTGGGAAATATACCGTAAAGTATAGGAGGAAAGTGTGTGTAAGAAACTTGTTTCCGAACTTCATTCATAGATTGCAGACGGAATGAAAGATATCATGCCCGGCCAGGGGTTTTGGGTATTCGGGTGTCCGGGGTCTTTTTATCGGCAGGTATACTACTAGTATCTTGTATTTCTTAGGGTTTTGGTATTTTGCATTTAGACACGAGGTTTTAAAGATCTTTTGGGATATATAAATGTATGTTGACAAAGCGATCGAAATGTGTGCAGGCAGAAGTTCGCCAGGGGTTAAGCTCACTGATTGCGGTGCACCAAAGCTTATACAAACATCCTGTATCTGGGTGACTGTATTAATTACCGTAAAATTTCGAAAATAAGCCCCTCCATGTATAAGCCCCTCCAAATATAAGCCCCCCAAACCGGTAACGCAAAAAACCCTCCGTTAAATTGCCCCTCCAAATATAAGCCCCCTGGGGGCTTGTACTTGGAAAATTGCCCTCAAATACAAAGTAAAACAAAGCAAAATCGGTAGATTTACTTCCAACTATAAGGCTATCCCAATCGATTTTGAGACACAAATTTCCCTCCTTAGATAAGCCCCTCCGAATATAAGCCCCTCCAAAAATAAGCCCCTCAAAAAGGGCCTTTGAAAAATATAAGCCCTGGGGCTTATTTTCGGAATTTTACGGTATCTCTCAGCAGACTGTCCAGCCATCCCAATTTCTTCGGGATCGCCCCGATTTTGTTTGAAAATCTCTAATACTGACCAAAATCAGGGGCACCCAACGAGGATATAGTTCAAAACCATAAACATAGCATTGTTGTATATGGGTGACTGTATTAATTATCTCTCAGCAGACTGTCCAGCCATCCCAATTTCTTCGGGATCGCCCTGATTTTGTTTGAAAGTCTCTAATACTGACCAAAATGAGATAGGGATAGGAAAAATCAGGATTTTTACATCATTCTGTGATGATGTTTGTTTTCATCGACTTCTGATAATACTTATGCCAGAACACCACATAGAGTGTAGTCAACTGAAACTGATATTCCAAAAACTAAAGAAGCTGCAAGAAATATATCGTAAAATCGAGTACTTGTACCCCAAGTCACGCAAAGCGACAAAGTGACGAAGGGCTATTTGTGTCTATGTCAGCCATCTTCATTTATATAGTCCTTTCTAAATGCTTGGTCATTCCGATCGCGTACACGAGGTACCTTTCTTCCAGTTCGGGTGGCTTTCAGTGAGTTAGAATTCAAAAAACATCTTTCAGCTTTTTACGATGGAACCTCGATATAACTGGCATGATGGCAAACATTATCGGTGTTACACGTATTTTTGTATATCAAGTGCGTTGTCAATTATTTTTCAATTTTACAAAAGCGAAAGGGAGTAGACAGCTACACTTCCTCTTCCCAGCAGCCTTGGAATCTCGCCTTTAGTAAAGATCCTGGACCACATTCTGAACGCCTGGAACAGGCTATTAATAATGAGCACATTATTTCAACACTAATTAAAAGAACGTATGATTACAATGGCTCAATTCCTGTTGTCATTTTCCTCGATTTCACCATCGAGACTTCTGCAGAAAGCACGCTTTTAACAATAACTTACTCTCAGGAAGGCTGGAGTATATTTGTGCCAAGGCTCCGCCTGAAAGGGGTGTACCTTTATCAGGCCTTAAGTATATCAACGGCGGTAGGGATTTCAAGATTTGAGGTATATATGAAAGGGTAGGAAAATCTATCATTCAAGTATTTAAAATAATTATAAAGGACTTCTAATTAAAATGTTTTGAACAGACGGACCTTATGGCTAAATCATTTTACTGAATTTATTAAACATTTAACAAAATGACAAGAAAACTTCCTGTTCAAGCGATTTATTTTTACTGAAGAAGGCATGTTAAAGGGGTTCAGTTTTTCAATGGAAGGTATACGAAAGGGGCACCTTGTCTATCAAAAATGGCGGTATATGAAACTGTTCGAAATGCAAAATTTCCCTCCTTTTGCCTAGCATCGACATTTAGTACTGCTGCAGTAGAGTGGGGAGGCTTATTCAGTTTAGCGAAAAGGTACTCTTAATTGATTCAATTTAAAATAAACAGAAGATGGTATCAATTTTCCATAAAGAACTAGAACGTAAAGTGGAAAACAAAAAGCTCATAGATGAAGATGGAGGTCATGAAACCTAAGATCAAAACCAAATCCGAACTTCCAATGGTGATCCGATTGAAAAATTGAGAATACCGGATCAGTCCACGTGAATCAGCTTACTCTATCATAAGAATAAGGGGTGGTGAGATGGGCGAGGGGCTTAAAAAGGCTTTCCCCTGAAAAGGGGTGGGGGCGGAGCCAGTGTGTATATAGGAAATCTAGAAAAAAAAAATATTTTTTTTACTTCCTGAAAACGCTTTTCTATCATTAAATCGGCATGACTGATTTTTCATGCCATTAGAGTCAATAGAGTGTTTTCACTCACGTGGCCAGCATCTACGCAAATTTATTGGAACAAAAGAAAGCGTTTGCATAAGAAAAGAGTTCAACTCCCACAGGATTGGTTTGGGACACCAACATGGCCGCCGTTTCATTGTTTTGGGACACCAATATGGCCGCCGTGACGTCACGTGAAAACACTCTATCTGTTAGGTAGACTTACACTGTCGCGATATTTCTACCGTACGTGCGCATGCGCTGTAATTCACTCGCGTAAATAACATAGAGCATGTATGAAGTGTCACGCGTAAAAGTAAAAGCTCAGGGACGATCAACTTTAACGTTCTAGCCCCTTTTCCTCGTAAACACTGTACCTTACCGATGACACCAGAGATAAGCTACTGCATTTTCCTTCTTATTTCTGGCATTTTCGAGGTCCCCAATTGAAGTATTTTCTCCGGGAGGAAGCCCCCAAAACTCCCTAGTTTAAAGCGCTTTCGGCGCTCTCACTTTAATTCTTCTCGTGCGTACACCTTCAAAATCTCACGCTACGCCCATGAGAAGGGCTTATTTGAGAGTGGGGTGGGCTTAATAGAGAAACAAAACTGAATGCAGGGTTGGCATTACGGCACTAGGGCTGATTTATTGTAGGGCAATATTTCGGCTAACAAAATAAACCTTCCTCAGGGTTAGAGCTATAACAAGAGAAAATATTTTTTAACGGCTCCTAAAATTTAAATTCAAAATTTAAATAAGTGGTCATATAACTACAATTATAAATACTAGAGAATAATAAACAGGTAAATGATTATACAATAAAAATAGACTTAAAAATGTTCATTTCTTCGGTTCCGACCATCTGGTGACAGGGTTTTGCCTCTATCTATGAGGTACGCTTCTCTTGCCTTACGGCGGACACGCTGAAAGTGGGTTGTAATTCCAGCGGCATAAGTTCCTTGTCTGCGATCGAGTGGCCAGGTTGATTAAAGTGCTCAAAGAAAGCACTGAAGCACACGTACCAACTCCGTGCTATGGCTATGCCAAGCTGATTAGCCACAAGAGGGGCGAAACAGCTGTCCATGGCTGCCACTGCCCGGGTGATATGGTTGTGCGCATGCGTAGGGTATCGGCCATTATAACCTAAAACATTATTATCTTTGGAGGTTCTTTGCACTGATTAAAGTGGGAAGGGACTGCTGCTGTGGCGTTTGCGTGGAGTGGATTGTTTGTTGCTTGTCTATGTTCTTTAAAGCGTTCACTAAGTGTGAGTTTAGTTTCGCCTATATATTGTTTTTACATCTTCTACACTGGATCATAAATGTTAGGTTTGTTGAGTCCGACAAGTAATGTGATGTTTTAATTTGTCTTGTTTCCCCGTGTTGGTGAAAGTGTATGATGTTTTTCCATGGCTAATGTATGGGCAGGTGAGGCAGCCATGTCTGAAGTTGCAACGGAATGTGCTGGCGGGGAGCTTTGGATTTTTGTCGTCGTTTGCGAGTTTCGCTCGAACGAGTAGGTCACGAAGGTTTGCTGAACACCGGACGAAAGTGAAGAAAGGTACTTATTTAAAGATGCTTTTAAGCGTTCGGTGGATTGCAGAATGGGTTGTTTCTTGCGAGTAGTTTGTCATGGATGTTAGGTAGAACTGTATTATAGGTAATTGTGAAAGGGATTCGGTCACTTGTATCTCTGGGTGCTCTAGCGGCTGGTTTATGCTTTTAAGGCTTCATTTCGAAGTATCAGTTTTGCTCTGGTGATTTGTGCTTTAACGAATAGTTTTTCGTAGCCTCGTTATATAAGGTAACTTTAGTTTCAAATTCAGATGATCGGGTTTCAAAGAAATTATCCCGCGTGGAGCCGTGAATGCAGCGTAAGCGAAGAGCTAGGCTGTAGTAGGCCGGGAATAGACTTTTTAGTGTGATATGGGTGGCTTGAAGAGTGCAGTAAGAATTGGTGTTTATCTGTAAAGATAAGTTTCTATTTTACCTTCGCGGAGTTGAATGTTTACATCTAAGAGAGAAATAGACGTTGTTGAGCGTTCACTAGTGAATTTAATCATAGGGTGTATGTTGTTAAGGTACTTTAAAAACTCGACCAGCGTTTCTTCACCATGTGTCCAAACCATTAAGATGTCATCAATATACCTGAGCCAAACTTCGTGAAACTTGAGGTTTGTCAGGGTAATTTTGCAACGCTTTCCTTTCGAAATCCCCCATGAACAACTTACCTTACGTGGCTGGAGCAATTTGTGTGTCTATAGCTGTACCATGTCGTTGTATAAAATGTTCATGATTGCATGTCGACAAATTGTTCATGGTTCAGTACAATCATGCGGATGCCGGATCACAAATGGATTCTGTAGGATCGAACAGATCTGTCAGTTCTTTGGCTAAGAGCTATTCTGGATACGTCGATTCCTTCGTAGGTTGGAATGTTTGTGTACAGAGAAGAAACGACTGAGGGTGACGAGTATAGCATTGGTGGGGAGGACGTCGATTTCCTTAAGTATGTTGAGAAAATGGGTCGTGTCTTTAACGTAGGACGGTAGCAGCTGTACCAAGGGATGGTAATTAGCAAACTCTGATATTCTTTCAGTCAGGATGTCCATTGGTTGAGACCATGGGCCGTCCGGCCTTGGTTTCCAGGCTTGTGAATCTTAGGTAGAATGTCAAAACGACCAGCTTTTGGATTTTGAGGGGGTAGGTAGTCGTAGGTTTCTTTTTCTATGACGTCATCGACACGTAGAAGATATTTAACAATTATTCCTCGAGCCCGAATGGGCTCTGAGTCAATAACTCAGAGGCCATAAGCGCGAGAGGAATAATTGTTTTAGTAAAACCCAACTAGCTGGTCAAAAATATCGAGAATAAAAAATTTTTAGCTAGCTAAAGTTAGACTTTTCCTTTTTTTGCCGCCAAAAAGCCCGCACTTTTCGCTGCTAGTGGGCTATAACATATAGCCTAGTAGTAGCTCAACTAATCAGAACGCAGCATTGATAATAGACCACTAGTTGGATTTTACTAAACCGTAATAGCAGAAGAGAATAGCTAATGATAGACAGTATAGTGATTCAGCAAATTTACCGGTAATTCAAACTCAAACGTGATGATACTAATCTTCCTTTTGAATAAAGAAAACAGAATGCATCCCTTAGCCGGAACAACCTAATCACCTCAGTCGCTGTAAACTCGGAAGAGATCAATTCTCTACGTGATAGTTGGCCACCCTCATAGCCTCTTTGAAAACTGAGTTTAAACTTTATTTAATTTTGCGTGCGTGGGCAAATAGGGAGGGCAATTAATTGTGTGGGAAATATACCGTAAAGAGTAGGAGGAAAATGCGTGAAAGAAACTTGTTTCCGAACTTCATTCATAGATTGCAGACGGAATGCAAGATTTCATGCCCGGCCAGGGGTTTTGGGTGTTCCGGTCTCCGGGGTCTTTTTATCTGCAGGTGTACTAGTAGTATCTTGTATTTCTTAGGGTTTTTGGTATTTGGCATTTAGACACGAGGTTTTAAAGATCTTTTGGTATATAAGTGTATGTTGACAAAGCGATCGAAATGTGTTCAGGCAGAAGTTCGCAAGGGGTTAAGCTCACTGATTGCGGTGCACAAAAGCTTATACAAACATCCTGTATCTGGGTGACTGTATTAATTATCTCTCAGCAGACTGTCCAGCCATCCCAATTTCTTCGGATCGCCCCGAGTTTGTTTAAAAATCTCTAATACTGACCAAAATGAGATAGGGATAGGAAAAATCACGATTTTTACATCATTCTGTGATGATGTTTGCTTTCTTTGAATTGTGATAATACTTATACCAGAACACCACATAGAGTGTAATCAACTGAAACTGATATTCCAAAAACTAAAGAAGCTGCAAGAAATATATCGTAAAATCGAGTACTTGTACCCCAAGCCACGCAAAGCGACAAAGTGACGAAGGGCTATTTGTGTCTATGTCAGCCATCTTCATTTATATAGTCCTTTCTAAATGCTTAATTGGTCATTCCGGTCGCGTACACGAGGTACCTTTCTTCCAGTTCGGGTGGCTTTCAGTAAGTTAGAATTCAAAAAACATCTTTCAGCTTTTTACGATGGAACCTCGATATAACTGGCATGATGGCAAACATTATCGGTGTTACACGTATTTTTGTATATCAAGTGCGTTGTCAATTATTTTTCAATTTTACAAAAGCGAAAGGGAGTAGACAGCTACACCTCCCCTTCCCAGCAGCCTTGGAATCCCGCCTTTAGTAAAGATCCTGGACCACATTCTGAACGCCTGGAACATGCTATTAATAATGAGCACATTATTTCAACACTAAAAGAACGTATGATTACAATGGCTCAATTCCTGTTGTCATTTTCCTCGATTTCACCATCGAGACTTCTGCAGAAAGCACGCTTTTAGCCATAACTTACTCTGAGGAAGGCTGGAGTATATTAACAAAACAACCTCTTCGTCAATATCCCAAAGACCGTGTGTACAGTAATTCTACATTTCAAAACCATGACCCATGAGTATAAACAGGAGCCTATCAAATGGAGCCTCCATCTCCCATACAAGCCCTTGGAGTCAACCCTTTCCCGAGTAGATTTATAATTAGAACGGTTCCCAGGGGAGACTTCGCGCGCCGACGGTGGGAAGAGCCAATCACAACGACCAAATGACACTGCTATTGTACTTCATGAAACAGCAGGAAATCCGGTGCTGACAGGCCAAACAAAATCATAAGCTAGTGAAACGTGACTTTAGCGTTTTCATCCCTCGGAGATTTTCTTTCTTTTCTTTCTAGCGGGTAGATTATACTGTGGAGAGTTTTAAACTCTGACTATGTTAATCTTAATTTTGGTTGCTTGTCTCACATTAAGCTGGTCTGTTACATGCGTAAGGATTAACTACTACCTGCAGTCTGTAGTTCTGATAGGATTCGTTTTCTTTAGCCAATTTTTTTGAGCGTTAAGTTTCTTATTTCGGCTAAATGACTCAATATTAATCAAATTTCTAGTTTTTCAAGTTTTTGTCCGAAATGCGTTTGTCTGAATAAATACTGTGGTTGTTTTGTCCGTCAGTTAGTGTGATGATTCCCTGCTATGTTTTGTAACGCCGAGCCCAGCCATTGTTTTCTCGCAAAAAAGTGATCTACAGATGCGAATTCGAAGGAAAGAATTGGCCTAAACTTCTACATTAATTGCTGAGAATTCTCCTGTTGGTCAGTCATAATTCTTTGGGCGCAGATACAATCCATTTTGTTTTTCTTGAGATAAGAGGGTCTTTGGACTGGAGCGCGATGTCACAAATTCCACCGTTAGCAAATTACTTTTGAGTTAGCTTCACGGTCGAGCAACTGTTGTCTTCTGTTCAACTTTTCAAGTGCCAGTTTTATCAGGCAACTCTCATGGTGATACAAGTCAGTTGTAAAAGACGACTGCAATTTTTCTGAAGCATTCCTCCTTGGTTGCTACTTAGGTCATCGCTTTTGCACACGGTGCTTAACTGGCGAAATCCACTCCACGGCGATGACAAAAATAAATGATCCTGGCACTTTTTCGGCGCTGATCATCGAAAAGTTTCAAGTTGTCCACAGAACGCTTAATCGTCGACTCTTTTCAAGGTGCATGCTTAAATGTGGGATGTATGACGGCAAAAAAAAAACAAAAACAAACACTCGCAAAGAACCTTTCCGTGATCCTCAGTTCGCTGCCTTTGTCCCATCGCTTCATGCTCAGTCTCAGTCGGGTAATTCATTAACTTTTATTTCATCCCAGATCCTAGCGGCTGTAAAATTGTAAAAATGGACGTATAGTAAAAAAGGAAAACGGTCGAAGGAAGGGCTTCTGAGTTCCACTTCATCCAACTTCATTTTTCTCACGGTGACATACGAGACTCCCGGAAATATGACACTTTTCGCGGGAAACAAGCCGTTCTATTTATAAATCTACTCGGGAAAGGGTTGACTCAAGAAATTAATGGAGATGGAGGCTCCATTTGATGGGCTCCTGACTTGCTTCCCAATTCATAATATGATTGTTCTGACAGGCAGCTGGGAACCAGGACCAGAGAGCAGGAAAGCATATGTATTAGATCGAACACTCCTATCATTAACAGGGACGAAGGAGCCTATCAGCTTTCTCCCATATGGACACAAGTGATCTCCACCCCCAAACCAGGGAAGGGGGGCGTCTACATAATGACTTTGCGCGTTTCTCGCAATAATTAACACCTTCAGAAGCCTATTTAAGGCTTCTGACACTTTTAATGCTTTTCAAGTTTTGATAAAGATGGCTGACAGTCATCGAAACTGTCAGCATCAATAAGACGTCAAGACTGGCTATGTTTTAAGAACATTTAAATCGACTGTTTGACTTCACTAGCCTGATGAATTTCTTCAAGAAGGGTATATTGTTTCTTGTTTCTTTCTAACTAAGTCAATTGTTTTCAATTTAGGTGCAGTCGAACTGACTCCACACCACGTATTTTCTTACAAAAGAAGGTCAGTTTCCTCCTTTAAGATCATTAGTTTCCAGAATTTCACGCAAACCAATCTAAATAATATGCCATACGTTGGTAAAAATTAGAAATAATGAAAATTTCACTTAAAAGCCTGACAGCTTCAATTTTTTCGAGTAAATAAACTTAAATGTGAAGACGGCTTTTCATTCATTCGTTTCCATTACTATAACTGTACCAATTTATATGCAATAAAGCTGTGTATCAGAGTTAAACACTTTGCAAAAATTTTTGTTTCCAGTCTTACGGCCTATTCTCTATATACTGCCTCGCGGATCAACTGAACTGAATATGTACTTAAAGCAAAATAATAACAAAGAGCTTATCATAATCTATAGTAAGTCAGCTGATCCTGGAAGTCCGCTCTTGACGAGTCTGTCATAAAGTTCCCCAACCATCAAATAGCGGTGTTTCGCAATAAGATCAAGAACAACGTCACATGGGTTGATGCTTCTCTTATCAAGAAAGCGGATCTCGTTGTAAGACATCCCAAAGCTCTCTGCAAGCTGTTTCCATTCTTCTCCACCTAGCAAACAAAAGCGATTTCAAAGTTTCAGATTCTGTTTTATTGGAAAGTTTATAGAAACAGTTGCGCTTTTGAGGAAAGACCTACTGTCCAGAACACGAAATGGTATTTTGTGTGACGTCAGATGCCTTCGCAGAAGACAGCTGCTTTTTTCTTTCAAGTACAGTCTGTAACCTAGTTTGAGCTATCATTTTAATTTTAGACTTGTTAAACACTAAAATTAAAATGATTTTTTATGAGGATGAAAAATCATATTGATGCAAGACATGTTATTTTTGCATAATGGGGTGTTTAATTAAGCAACCACGACTACGATGGCTGCGACAGTGCGATTTAAGGTGGCTCGGTAGAGTTTTTCAGGATCAAACCCTCCCAAGTTTGAGCATAAACTACATATATACGTCGCCATTAACCGACAAATTTAGGAATATTACCACCACAGCTGTATTAGATAAAAATGAAAATTTGTTCTGATCAGGGTTACAATGACACCGGAGTTTTCATAGCGATGAAAAGACGACATTACCTATTTTACTTGCAGCCGAATTTCTCGGCACTAGAAGCTGTC